GGGGTCGATGCATCCCCCTCTATGCCTGCACCCCCCTGTTGTTGCCCCCGACTGGGGCACACCCCCCCTTTGCGGGATCCCGGTCCTTGACGGCCACACGCAGCTCCACCTCGTGCGGGTGCAGGTCCGGCAGGGAGCGGAACGGCGAGACCTCGGGGGAGGGAGCGTCCGCCGCACGCGCCTGCCTCTTTTCGGGCCCTGGCCAGGCTCGTCCTGGGCCCAAGAAGAGCGGTGCATTTAACCTCCTGGGACGGTTTTTGGGCCTCCTCCTCCTCATCCTCCTCCTCCTCCTCCTCCCTCCTCCCTCCTCCTCCTCCTCGTTCTCCTCCCCTCCGTCGCGATTGCTGTTGACGACGCGAGGTGGGTCCGGGGTCGTTGGTCGGCAGGCGACCCAGGAGACGCCTGGAAACCGCGAGCTACCCTGAGGTCCGACGTCGCTCCAAAGCTACACAATTCCGCGGGCTCGCGACAGCGTTCCGCCCCGTAGGGCGAATCAGATCATGATAGCTGTATCACCTCAGGGTGATCGAACCAGACTGGTATCAACCACCAACTGCAATCCTGTGCGTTAATGCGCATGCTCGTATACAGCATGTTATCACCCGGGGGGGGGAGCGCTGCTGCGCTGCACTCCACCTTGGCTCTGGGGCTTGGCTCTGGAGCCACCTCACAGTTCAGTTCGAACTACTCTGGCAACCAGCGAAGCTAAGCCTGGCACCCTTGCCCTCGGCCGTGGGCCTCTCCGAGCTATCCCCTGGGGCCTCTCCGAGCTATCCCCTGAGGCCAGCGCCTCCGCGGTGGGTTTCGCTCTCGCCCCCGCGAGCAAAAACAAGAGCAGCACTACCTTCTTCCAACTGGACGGCGCGCACGCAGTGCTTGCGCGCCTCGAGACACGAAAGCGGTGCCACGACACCTCCACCACTGGAGACCTGCTGTCGGGCCCTTGATTCTCTGGGCCTTCACCTGCCCGTCGTAGACGCCAGCCCTGGTGCACTCACTGCGCAGCTCGGTCGCGGGCCACTCCCAGTAATTCCTGATCGGCTCAGTCTGCGACTGGCGGCTCGCGATCTGGCCAGCGGGCTCGCCCGCCGGCGCCAGCTGCGTCTCGCCCTGGGCTATGTGGCCCTGGTCGGTGTCGTTTTAGAGCTCCCACAATTCTCTCATGAAGTTGATGGGGGGCCATGTGTATGCGGTGGAGGAGCAGGCTGCCCAGGATCAGAATGGCCAGCGTTGCTCCCATCATCAGCGTCACGAGCGCGCTCCAGATCTGGTCGGGCACGGCAGCACTCGGCACGACCACGACAGCACGGTCGCGTGCACGCGCTGGCACAAGGTGTCTCTTCTCTTCCTTGCACTCCTGAGATGAGAGTCGCCGCCAGAATCACTCCGAACACCTGGATGCGCCCTGAGGACAGTGTCCGAAGCGGCAGCATCCCCAGCAGCTTCAGGATCTTCACTCTCTAGAGCGGCTAGGTCTGCGTGTCCGCTCGGCTCGAGTCCGTGTGAATCTCAGCCATCGCGATGTCGCGGTCCCGCGCCCTCTCCTTTGCCCAGAAGCACCTGGTCTCCAAGTACCGCGCCGCCTGCCAGGCGCGACGCGATGCTCTTCGCGTCAGAGCTGTCGGCGTTCACATGCAGCTCCGTCTCGACGCCCATCACAGCCAGCACGTTCCTCAGCCATGCCATATCCCAAAGGGTGACCCTTTCACGACGCCTGTGATCTCCGCCTCCGCGCTGCTCAGCGCATGCGCATGGCTGCCACGCCGCGTGCTCCAGCCGCCACTCAGGTGCGCCCTGGTCAGCTGGAAGCCTCTGTCCGCAGACTTCCGCCCGGGCTCCGACTCCCAGTCGCTGTCGACCTCCGCCGCGATCAGCTTCGGCATCCTCTGGAACTCGAAGAACGGTTCGTACTGCGGGTGCTGTTCGAGATAGCCAGCGAGTCTCTGCCGGAGCATCCAATGGCGCCATGTTGGGGCCGTAGTGCCCCTCGTGAAATACCCCGCAGCCAGCCGGATCTCGACGCGGTCGCGCGCCGCGCGCAGTGCCGTCGGGGACACGCCCCGGCGCGCGGCCGCGTACTCTGCCGAAAGAGCGCCCCCTGACTCCCTGCTATCCTTGCCGATGGTCTTGGGCGGGGGCGTGACCGCGCGCGCCGTGATTCTTTGGCCCCCCGACCTTCCGATTCAGCATCGTGGTGGTCAAGGTCTCCACGTGCTTGCGATCGCGCAGGATGAAGGATCCCTCGCTCGACCACGCCATTCTTGAGGATGCTGCCAGCATCAACTCCTCCTTGCCGTGGATTCCCCACTCGAGGCATGATCTTCATCTTGAAGTGGGCCTGCGCGAGTTGGCCGAGCCAGTCGGGGAAGTCGCCCCCGTAGACGATGACCAGAAGCTCTCGCCCGCGGTCATAGCATGCCCGCGCGTGACCTTGATCCTGATGAGGACGCCCTTCTCAAGCACCTCCCTTACCAGGTTCTGGAATGGGAGTGACGCCCTCCCCGTGCCATAGAGGGAGGGCTCGCTTGAGCAGGTAGACGAGACCCTCGCGCACGAGGGCACGGGCGGAAAAGCTGCCGGCGGCGGTGCGCCCGCGCAAGCGTCGTCCCTCGCGTCCCAGGCGAACCGCAAAGCGACGAACCTCGAGCGCGCACCCTCGGCGCCACTGTCGTCGCACCGCTCGTCATCGACACGCCCCCCCCGCGCGCTTGCCCTTGGTGAGGTGATTGGGGATCAAGTCGAACGCCTTGAACTCACCCATCTGCCGCCTCTCATCGTCTCGGACGGCCTTCGCAAGCGCGGGCTTCAGCTTGCGACCAGATCTCGCGCCGCGCGCGTCCTGGAAGGTCGCCTTGCGGTCGTTGCAGTCGGCCTGGCTCCCAACCGCGACGTCGCCGATCGGGGCGGGGTCGCAGGCCCCGGCGAGGGGGGCCACGCCTATGTTGACGAACAGCCCCGCGATCATCTTCTGCTTGGTCTTGGCATCCACTCCCAGCGCCTCGCGGTCCCAGCTCGTCCCGATCATGCCCAACTCCGCATCTTATTTTGCATATGGTGGCGACGATGGGACGTGCCACATCGGGCTGTCCTCGCCCGCGCTCGCAATCTGGTGACCGTCGCCCCTCGTCTCTCCGTCTGAGGAGCGCTGCGCGGTGGATCAGCCCCCGTGGAAAGGCTGCCGCCGCTGGCCCATCGGCTGCTTCGGGGACTGGGGCAGGAGCGGCTGGCGCCCCAGCGGGCTGCGCCGCTGGTCCTGCCGCTGCGGCGGCAGCAGCCGCACGTGCAGCAGCTTCCTGTCTCTCCTTCTCCTGCTGGGCCATCAGCAAGCCCTCGAAGCGCCTCCCGCAGGCCACGGCGCGCGGGCGCCCAGCGCCGAAGCTCCCAGTGCAGCCCGAAGTTGGGCCCGGCCTCTCGAGGATCGCCCTGGCGATGCACTGTCGCCTCGCGACTGGCGGCGCTGCTTCAGATCCCGCCCGACCGAGTGCCCCGCGCTTTGCGCTCGATCTTGTTGAAGAAGCTCTTCGACCAACGCAGATCCTCGACCCGCCCGGCGTTCGTCCTGGCAGTCTTCCTGCCAGAGGTGGTGGCACATGCTCGTCGGCGCGGTTGTCCTGGCCGACCCGGGTCGCCTTGGCCCATCGCAACTCTGCCTTGTGGCGGGATGCGTTCTGGATTTGCATAGAGCATTGCCGCCTCGGCGAACCCGCAGATGGCCCCCCCGCGGGGGCGATCTTGGCAGGCCGTCAGGCAGTCCTCCTTCACGGAGAATCGGGTCAGGTCATCCAGCCGAGAGCGTCAGCTTCACTCCATGCCTCGGCTCCACTGCGGCACTTAGCACGCGAAGTATACCCTGAACCATCTGATTAACATTCTCGATGGCGCCCTTGCTCTTGAGGTCTCGTCGGGGTCCGCAGTGGGGCATGGTCTCCTCTTCGCGCGCGAGCTGCGCTGCTCGGCCAAGAGCCCGGATGGCGCTCTCGCCGTCGGCCCCCTGCAGGACGCGGCAGAGGCCTCGCGTGCGCTCGCATGCGCGTGGCGGCGCCGGTCAGATTCCCGGCGCGCTCGGCCAATCTGCAATCTGGCAGAACGCCCGACTGGCACTCCAAGATGTTGAGCACTGTCAGCGGTTCGCCTTCCACGTCGATGCAGATGAGCGGGATTTCATTCGAGAGGGATCAGCCACGCGGCGGCGCGGGCCCTCTTGGCCTCGCCCCGCGAGGCAAAGTGTACTCGAAACGGCCAGTGCGCGAGTCGGCGTTGGTCTCGGACCGCGCGGTCTGGCATCGCCGGAATGCGCCTGGCCTCGGCCGCCGCGGCCTCGCCGCGACGCCGTCGCGCCCCCCCCCGCCGGTCGCCTTCCTGACCCGATTGGCCCCGACAGCGGCTGATCGCCCTCGAGTGGAGGTGGCGGCGGCGGCGGCGCCGCCGATGAGCTCGACTCTACGGCGCCTTCCCATGGGTTTCCTGCGTCTGGTGGAGCCCGACGCGGCATCGCTCGAGTCTCCGAGTTCGGCCGGGTCGGGCTGGCGAAGATCGGCTCGGCGGTGTTCTCGGTCGGCCTCTTGGCCCTCGGCCGGCAGTTCCCGCCGCCCCGGCGGAGATTCAGCGCGCGGCCGTCGGCCAAATCGACGCGCGGGCCCTCGCCCAGGATCGGTGCGCGACCGTTCTGGGCGAAGGTGCTCGCGCTCGCGATCGCCCGCCTGACATTCGCGATGTAGAACTCGACCTGCAGGGGGGCGCCCTCGCTTTCGGCCGTCGCGACTCTCGCGCCCGTCGACGTCGCCCCGTTGCCCGTCGCGGCCTCGCGCAGAAGTAATGGCTTCGCAGGTAGCGTCGTCGATGAGGTCGCGAAGTCCGTCGGGCGCACATTTCGGCCTGGGCTCGCGTCGAAGAGACGGCAGTCGTACTCGACCGTCTCCTTCATCCAGGTCGGCAAGGCGTCGCACTGCATCGGCTCGAAGATTATGCCGACTGTCCAGTACTCCGCTGGCGCAATCGGGATGTCCAGCGAATCGCTGTGGACGCAAAGGTTGGCGAGGTGCACCGTCGAAGCTGTCGACGGTGGGCCCGTTGCGACTGCTAGGCCAGGACCGCGGCCGCGCGGGCTACGTCAACTGGCAGCGTCGGCGCCGAGCTGGCTGCCGAGGAGGCGCTGGCCTGCTGCAGGCCAGTGCAGGCCAGAGCTCGTGAGCTGTTTGGTCGCGTTCGTGCTGGGCGCCGTCGAGCTCGCAACCTTCGGCGACTCCTTCTCGTCGGCTTTCTTCTTCCGACAGTCGGCAATCAGATGTCCTGGCTTCTCGCAACAGTGGCAGGCGCGTATCTCGCGGCCTGCGACACCTTCGGAATCGGCCGTGCCTTTGCCATTCGCGTCGCCTCTGCCCTTGCCCTTGCTCTTCAGATCGCCCCTGCCGCCTCTGGACCTGGGATGGGCCGCGTCGACCTGCGTCGGGGCAAATTCATCGCCGCCGGCGTCTGGCGCCGCCCAGCGCTGCTGCGCCGAGCAGATCTGCTTCAACTCGCCCCTCCAACTGTGCGTAGGTCGTGAGCCTCGCCGCGTTCAGGCGCAGGTCAGGGGAGCCCAGAATCGAATCGATAAGTCGGATCGGCGATCGGAACCAATCGTGTCGGCGGAAATCGGCAGCCGAATCGAAGGAACTCGAATCGGCGAAAGTCGGCAGCTTACTCGGCCTCCATCGTAACATCGGAGCCCGAATCAGAATCCGAAGCCGAATCGAATCGGAATCGGAAACCACCGAAATCGAGTGGAATCGGAGGAATCGAAATGAACCCTGTCAGGTGGTCGGCGAGCTTGTCGTTCTTGATGCCCGGCTGGTCCGTGTACTCGCGTATCAGCTGCTCGAACTCTGCCAGGGACGTCATCACTGGGTCTGTGAACTCGTAGCGTACGATGCGGCCGAGCATGGCCGCGAACCTGGTCACGAAATCCCGCAGCAGGTGCCACCAAGCTGCGAGCCCATCGCCTCGAGGTGCCTTCCTGGTGAACACCGTGGCAACGTCTTCGGTCACCGACACCAGAAGGCAACTGCGTGTTCAGCGCGTCGTCCGTCTCGTCCTGCGGCGTGACCTCGTCCGCCGCCACTGAAGCGTGTTGGATCCGCTCCCCCGGTTGGGGGTGCGCACTGCGAACGTCAAGCCGGAGCTCCACGATTTCCATGTCGAGCGCAAGCCCGGGAAAGCGCGCGGCTTGATGACCAGGCGCGCGTCCACCACCTGCTTGCTCAGGAGCTGACCCGCCGCTGTCCGCGCCCAGCTCCTGCGGGGCAGCCGCGAGGGCCGATCGGGACGGATGCCGCGATCCTCTGCTCTGCCGCCCCCCCGGCCTCCGTCGAAGCTGCTGGTTCTCCGCCGGCACGGCCCCGTGCCTCGCCGCCCCGCCCTCCGCGAGCCCCGCTGCCCCGCTCGCTCGCGCGAGCTCCTCCGTCGCCGCGGGCGCGCGGCCCGGGAGCAGCCGAGCAGAAGAGTGCAGCCACACCTCGGCCACGCTGCGCCACCATCCGCGGGGTCGCGTCGGCGTTTCGCCCCGTGGGGCGAGGCATGTCACGATCCTTGCATCACCTCAAAGCGCTAGAGCCAGAACGGTTAACTCGTGCATGCTAAGATACATCATGCTATCATTAGGTATGGGTGGGAGCGCTGCTGTGCTGCATGTAACAACGTGAGGAACCACGGCTGGAGCCCTAGGCCCCGTCTTCCCGCGGCATCTTCCAAGTTAGATCGATCAGCGGTGGTCCCCGGCCAGAAGCTGCGCAAAATCGCCCAGAGTGGAAAAACGAGACAGCCCACACATGCCATGCCCTGATGTTTTCAAGAAGGGGTCCCCGGAAGTCCTGACCCTTCCCCAGGGCCTGTCATCGCGAGTCGTTTGTTGACGGTCCCTCTGGGCCCGGCGAGGGGCCCCAGGAGGCCAAATGTTTACCAAAACCTCCTGTCCTGATGTTTTTCTACGACGCGAGCGTGTCTGAAGCTTCGGGCCATCCCCCCGGTTCTCCGGCGGCCTTTCGCGACGGTCCGGGGGCAGCCCTGGAAGGCCCTCGGCGAGGCGCAGCTGCCGGAACGCATCCCGAGGCTGGAGAACCGCCGAGAACCAACGAGAATGCCCGAATACTAGCTCTCGTCGTCGTCGGCGTCAATATCGCCGTCGCGGTCGTCGTGGTCGTCGTGGTCGTCGTCGTCGTCGTCGTCGTCGTCGTCGTCGCCGTCGGCGTCAGTATCGCCGTCGTCGTCGTCGTCGTCGTCGTCGTCGTCGTCGTCGTCGTCGTCGTCGTCGTCGTCGTCGTCGTCGTCGTCGACGCTGGCCGACTGGCGCCCTCCGAAGACCGCCGTGCGCCGGTCCTTGGAGCTCGTCGCCCGCGCGTTGGGGTCCCTGGCGAGGCCGCGGCCGACGCGGGCCTCCACGGGGGCGTCCCGCTCGTCCGCGGAGAGGCCGGCGCTCCGAGCGCTCACGGGTCCGCTGCTGGGCTCGCTGTGCACGGAGGAAGCCTTCGGGCGGCGCAGGCAGCCAGCGTCTCGAGGAGATCGGGGCGGAAGCTCTGCACCTTTCTTGTCGGCCTCTCGGGGCCCCTGCCCAGAGATCCGAGGACATGATCCCAGACATGGTCGCGGCGAAAAAAAAGCAGGGCGAGATTTGTTTGACCATCTTCGGCCTCTCGAGGCCCTCGCCGGGCCCTGGGACCGTCAAAAAACGACTCCGGATGAGAAGCCCGTCCTGGGGAAAGGGTCTGGATCTCCGGGGACGCCGTCCTGAAAAAAACAGGTCGTCGCATGTCTGTGATCTTTGCATTCATCTCGCGTTTTTGGTATGGTAATTTCGGGCCCGGGGGGCATGAAAAAGGGGTCTGGGACAAAGACACACCCCAAGGGCTTCCAACTTTGCGCTTCGCGCTGCGCGAAGCGCGAAGTGCAAATAACTTCGCGCTCTCGCGCCGCCTCCCAGGGGAGAAGAGGAGGAGGAGGAGGAGAAGGAGGGGGAGGAGGAAGAGGAGGAGGAGGAAGGACGAGGAGGAGGCAGAGGAGGAGGAGGAGGAGGAGGAGGAGGAGGAGGAAGGAGGAGGAGGAGAAGGAGGAGGATGAGGAAGGGGGAGGAGGAGGAGGAGAAGGAGGAGGAGGAATCGGAGCCGAACTGCGAAGCGCGAATAGCTTCGCGCCCTCGGGGGCGCCCTTGCACCCCCGGGGAAGGGGTCGGGGCCTCTGGGGCCGCGGATCGAAGAAATCAGATACCGGCGGGGAGGTCTGGGCGCCAGGCCTCGGGAACGACTCCGGGTGAAAAAGCAGCCCCGGGGCATGGGTCGAAGCCTCGAGGGGGTCGACGTACCCTACCTAGGAGTTGGAGCCCCTAGGAAAGCAGCATTAGTAGTAACAGTAAAGCTAAGCTAAAGCTAAGCTAAAGCAAAGCTAAAGCTAAGCTAAAGCTGAGCTAAAGCCAAGCTAAAGCTAAGCTAAAGCTAAGCTGAAGCTAAGCTAAAGCTAGAGTTTAGCAAACGCTAAGCTAAAGCTAAGGTAAAGCCAAGGTAAAGCTAAGCTAAAGCTAAGCTAATGCTAAGCTAAAGCTAAGCTAAAGCTAAGCTAAAGCTAAGCTAACGCTAAGATAAAGCTAAACTAAAGATAAGCTGAAGCTAAGCTGAAGCTAAGCTGAAACTAAGCTACAGCTAAGCGAAAGCTAAATATGCTATACAATGCTGTGCTATGGTATGCTATGCTGTGCGATGCTATGCCATGCTATGCTATGCTACGCTAAGCTATATTAGGCTACGCTAAGCTCAGCTAAGCTAAGCTTAGGTAAGCCAAGCTAAGCTAAGCTAAGCCGAGCTAAGCTAAGCCAAGCTAAGCTAAGACGAGATCAGCTACGCCAAGCTAAGGGGGCGCTATGCTAAGCTATGTTAAACTATGATATGCAATACAGTGCTATGTTATGCTATGCTGTGCTATGCTATGCCATGCTATGCTATGCTACGCTAAGCTACATTAGGCTAAGCTAAGCTAGGCTAAGCTAAGCGCCAAGCTAAGCGCCAAGCTAAGCTAAGACGAGATAAGCTAAGCCAAGCTAAGGGGGCGCGACTGGGGGAACCGCGGGGCGGGGACTGGGGGAACCGCCCGGGGCGCTTCACACTGCCCGGCCCCTTTAAGCTAAGAGAGTAAGTACCCTTCTAGGCAGAGCCTAGGTAGGGAATTAATACAAAAGAAACCATGACGTCGGAGGTCTGGGGGGCGAGGTAGGCGAGGCAGGGTCCACGACGACGACGACGACGAGAGATTTTCGGGGGAGGAGGAGGAGGGGGAGGAGGAGGAGGAGGAGGAGAAGGAGGAGGAGGAGGCGACGACGGCGACGACGACGAGATTTTCGGGCGTCCTCGTCGGTTCTTTTGCGCAGGGGCCGACCGCCCCGGCATTCCTATAGGCCTATGCAGCCTCGGCATGCTCTCCGGCAGCTGCCCCTCGCGCGAAGGGCGCTCCGGGGGTGCCCGGATCGTGCCGAGCGGCCGAAAGGAGGGGGAGGGGGAGGAGGAGGAGGAGGAGGAGGAGGAGGAGGAGGAGGAGGAGGAGGAGGAGGAGGAGGAGGAGGAGGAGGAGGAGGAGGAGGAGGAGGAGGAGGAGGAGGAGGAGGAGGAGGAGGAGGAGGAGGAGGGGGGGGAGGAGGAGGGGGGGGAGGAGGAGGAGAGGAGGAGGAGGAGGAGGAGGAGCAGGAGGAGGGAGGAGGGGGAGGAGGAGGAGGAGGAGGAGGAGGAGGAGGAGGAGGAGGAGGAGGAGGAGGAGCAGGAGAGGAGGAGGAGGAGGAGGAGGAGGAGGAGGAGGAGGAGGAGGAGGAGGGAGGGGGAGGAGGAGGAGGAGGAGGAGGAGGAGGGGGAGGAGGAGGCGGAGGAGGAGGAGGAGGACGAGGAGGAGGTGGAGAGCCGGGCCCGTGGCCCAGAGGCCCATACTATCATGCCCCCGCGGGCTGCGAGCAGAGGCACGGCGGGCAAAGGCTGGTGCTGTGCGGCCGAGCTCGGGGCCCTCGCCGTGCCCCGGGGGGGCCGTCGAACAGCGGCTCCGGATGCCCTCACAGATCGATACGGCTCGGGAATTGGGCAGGAAGCTGGGGTCCGGGGCTCCGTGGGCGTGATTTTTGTACGATGCTGCACTTTTTCGCCACGTCGGATCGCAGGGGGCGACCCTCAGATCTGGGCTTTGCCTGCCAGCTTTGCCATTTTTGGCCGTCCTGGCACACTGGGCGGTTCTGCCTGGCCTCGGGCCCCGGGCTCATCGCAGATCGATCTGGCTCGAAGAACGCAGCAGAAAGAAGATAAGGTCTCGGGCTCCAGTCGCGACCGTCCGCGATCTTGCAACGTCTCGCAACGTCGAAGGGGACGTCGACGGCGTCGTTGTCGTCGTTTCGGACATTTCTGGTGGTTCTTGGGGGTTGTCTCGCCTCTGGGCGCTCTCCGGCAGCTGTGCCTCGCCGAGAGCGTTCCGGGGGGGCCCGCCTCGTCATGAACGGCCGCCTGAGGCCCGAGTCATGGCCCACAAACCGACAACGACGTCGACGTCTTCGATTCGGACGCTGCTCGGCGGGGTCCTCGATTAGGAGGAGGAGGAGGAGGAGGAGGAGGAGGAGGAGGAGGAGGAGGAGGAGGAGGGAGGGGAGGAGGAGGAGGAGCAGGAGGAGGAGGAGGAGGAGGAGGAGGAGGAGCAGGAGGAGGAGGAGGAGGAGGAGCAGGAGGAGGAGGAACAGGAGGAGGAGGAGAATGCCTCAAGCGCCACTGCACTTCAGGGGAGGCCCTCGAGTTTAGGGCTCGAGGCAGCATTCCTTTCAGGCCTCCCCAGAGACCTCTCTTCCGTACACCATGGGATGGAAATGAAACGAGCCAACGACGCAGCGTCGCCACAAGCAGCGCCCATATGTGGTGTGCGGCGGTTGCGGTGCGTGGCAGTACGAGTCCGAAGCGAAGAAGAAGGTCTGGTGTAAGTGTGGCGAGCCTCTCCATATGGTGGAGGGCACCAGCCAGACAAGCTCCGAGGCCGACGGAAGCACACGCAGCCAGTCCGAGTTGGACATGAAGACCGTCCCGACCGCCATCCTAGGCGTCCTCAGCGACACCCAGAAGCAGGAGCTCGGCCCCGCGGCGCAGTCAGCGGCGGCGCTGATCACGGAGAAGCGCCCGCAGCCAGCAGCAGCCGCGGTGGCCACCCGCCAAAATGTCCTCCAGCACGAGAAGCGCGTCGAGGAGCTCGACGCCCACCTGGCCGACCTGGAGATGCAGCTCAAGGAGGCCAAGACGGATCGCGAGAAGATCGCCGCGGAGCTCATCAACGCGCACCAGAAGTTCGAGGAGGCCAGCAGCCAGGCCACCGCCCAATGGCGCCCCCAGGCCCAAGCCATGCAGGTCGACAGCGGCGGCCAGCAGCCAGCAGCCAGCAGCCAGCAGCAGCAGCAGCCAGCAGCCAGCAGCCAGCAGCCAGCAGCAGCCAGCAGCAGCAGCAGCAGCAGCAGCAGCCAGCAGCAGCAGCCAGCAGCAGCAGCAGCAGCAGCAGCAGCAGCAGCAGCAGCAGCAGCAGCAGCAGCAGCAGCAGGCACCCCACCAACGGCGAGTGCACCCTGCGGCGGCAGCGCCGGCGGCGGCCATGCCCGAGCTGCCCCCCGAGGGCCCCGCGCAGCCCTTCCGCGGCCTGCAGCGGGGGCCGATGCCGAGCAGGCGACGGCCTCCGTCGCTCCGCGTGGCGCCGCCACCGAGCAAGGCGAGGCCCCACCGCCCGAGCGGCCGCCGCTGGGCAGGCGTCGGGGGGGCGAGCGCGGGCGGGGGCGCGACGGGTGCCGCCGCGTCGCCCGGGGCCCCGCCGCAGCCGCAGGGAGCCCAGGGGGCGCGGGGGGGCTGCAGTGTAGGGGGGCGAATGGCTACCTAGCAGACCACCCCAACCCAACCCGAAGACCCGAATTTCGGGTTGGGGGGGTGAGGGTTCCATATGTGTTTTCTCAATGTTCCCCGGTCCCCCCCCCCCACTAGAAATGGATGGCAAATCGGGGCCTTCGGGTTGGGTTGGGGTGGGTTGGTGGGTGGTGAGCGAACTCGATACACCGACGCTTCTTCCCGACTCTGCACTGGAATTCCCACAGGAACGCGGAATCTGGTGTATACGGGATCCTGGTGTATACATGTTTCGTTGCTTCCCTGGGAAAACGGGGGAACAGTATACGCCACAGCACCCCGACGCCGTCCCCGACCCTCAAAAAAGTCCGGGGATTGAAAAACCGCCCGCCACGGATGATGTAGATGTTCCAGTTTCCGACAGTGGGCACCGAGGAGGACAAGGACCTCTGACGGACCCGCAGGGCGAGCAGGCTCGCCCAGCAGTCCCCCCGCAGCAGGGGCAGGCCGTGAGCGCGGCATAGACGACAGTCCAGATATCGCAGGGCAGCGAGCGCAGCTTCACCAGGCTAGACGTCGGGGACATCAATGACAGCATCAGTCTTAGTTCTCGCAGCGAGCGTTCTTCTGACAGCTTTGCGC